GGGGCTGGAAATTAGGCTTGTCATCTGGCCTATAAAGACGGGAGTGGAATTTTCCACCCAGCAGAGCAGGGAGAACAGCAGAGCAGTGCGCATCATCCATCTGTATATATACATGTTATTTATATACATATTGTATATTGATATGTGTTCCCCCAGTAGCAGACTTGATATAGTGCGCTGATATAAAAATTGGTGATATTGTTCTCATACATGGGTAATAATGAACCCCTTAGAGAAAATAGAAAAATCCAGTTCTACAGGGGCAGTTTTAATGCGTATCTTAGACTTATAGAAGATGTTTGATGGAAGGTTGTGCTAGTGATATGCTGAATTAAGCACATCTCTGAAATGCCCTAGCCAGAACCTTTTCCCAGCCAACACTAATTTAGTGTTCATTTTACCAGACAATTTGCAAAACTGGGATTCCTTCTGAGTGCTTGACAGTGGAAAATCCACCTACACTTATCATAATCAGAGGTTAAATATAACCTTCTATGTCTATAAATCCTGAAATATACTATGGATCAGAATTTCAATTATAAACTGATTTTCAATGACACATGCCAAGCAAGGATATCAGCCCCTATATTTCCTCTGATTTTACCTTGATACAGATCCATAGGGAAGGCACAGTGCTGTAAGTGATCAGAATCCTAACTAAACACAGATTTCATGACATGCAAATATATAGAAAAATCACAGAGATTGTCCACAGGGGCATATACACAAAACACACATGAGCAAATGACCCAAATGTACCCCAAAAAAAAGGATAAAAGGAAAAGGCCACAGCAATTCTACCTTTTCCTGAGAGGTAAAGTGGCAGTAACTGCATTAGTAAAATGAAGGGATTGTAGCTATCTTCGAAAAATAGGAGTTGCCAAACATACTGTTTTCATATGGATTAAAGAATTCTTTGTTGTATAGCTTGAGTAATAGCTAAGTTTTGGTTGCTCAGGAGCTCATGAATTGCAAACTTGTCCATAATTGACTGGAACTTAAATGGTACTTGCTGAATTTGAGCCTACTTTACAATTGTGCCTTTTATAGCAGTTAGATCTGAACATTTCCATCTAATAATTTTCTCAAATGTGAATTAGCTTTTACAGCTCTGAAACTGAAATGCCTTTTCCCTTCACTCTCTGTGAAACAGTCCTTTGTGAATAACAACCACAAACAAGGAAATTGCATTTTTTAGAAACAAGATACCCCACTGAAAGTTTCATCTTTTCAATATTCACCTATTTTCTGATATACTTGTGATATAAATCAGCATGTTACAGTGCTTGTTTTTATAAATACACACTGAAATCATAAAATTGAACAGGCCAAGAGAGCATTCAAACCAAAAGACTTATGTTTTTAAACTACAGGTACATTCTCAAGACATCAGGCACACAAAGTGCAGCCACAAGTGGCTGATCACAGTATCTTTCAACAAGTTTTTTTATTCGTTTCATTTAGTAGGAAGAAAAGCCCCGAATGGCAATGAAAATGAATGAATGCACTAGCAACATGACACTTCTAGCCTCTATCTGATATTAGGGGCCCTTGTCTCTATGGCTGGCAACAGACATTACACATACACTGGATTAAGTGATCAGAAACTGGTTTAAACCTGTAACAGAACAGACATTCAGTGCACATAAACCATTTTCAAAATGGCCAAAATTGGTTTGACATAAACCTGGTGAAATGTAGACTAATAAAATCAGACTTAACAGATTTGGTTCAAACCAGTTTATGCATTGTCTGTCCCAGACACCTTGCTGGTTTAAGATAAACCAGAAACCCACAGCATCCCAGCATGCTCTCAGGACTGGGGAGGGCTCTGTGCTCCAGCTGCAGGGCTGACCCCACCCCTCTGCTCTCTAGCCAGAGCAGGATGGGCCCTAGCAGAGACACTGGCTGGTATGGCCCTGTTCAGGCAAAGTGGGCAGGGAGGGAGTTAATTCTTCCTTCCTTCCCCTGTTTCCCCACTGCAGCTGGGGCCAGCAGGGAAGTAACCCTTCTCCCTGCCCCCTTCAGCTTAATGGGGCCATACTGGGTTGGCTGTCTTGCAGGGTGGGGAGGAGCCTCTGTTCCCTGCTGGGGGGAACTCTTCCCCCTCCTCCTCTGCCTCCTCCTCCTAGGGTGGGGAGGGGGACTCTGTGAGACATTGTATGGGGACTCTTCCTCCTCCTCCACTTTCTCCCAGCCCCTGTGAGACTGCAGTGCTCCCCGTACAATGCTGTCTGGCCCCAGAGTGGGGGCAGGGAGAGGCTGTTCTGTGCTGGGGGCAATTCTTCCCCTTCCTTTTCCTTCCCCCAGAGGGGCAGCGGGAACGCAGAGTGCAACTGGGCAGGATATGGGGGTGTGGGGGAGGGT